GGTGTCGTTAATAAAATCGGTGCAATTTCAAAATGTAAAACTCTTAACTTGAAATTAAAAAGAAGTAAGAACTTATAGTCGGACATGACCGACCATATGATACCCTACACCAATTACAAATTTGGATTATTTTTATACCCTACACCACTATAGTGGGGATGGTATTATGCGTTTGTGCTGATGTTTGAAAAATCCAAATATATTGGTCCTTCACCATCCTTAAAGTAAACCAATCGGCTCAGAATTACTTACTGAGTTGATTTAGCTATGTCCGCCTGTCTGTCTGTCCGTCTGTCTGTCTGTCTGTCTGTCTGTCTGTCTGTCCGTCTGTGTGTCCATGTAAACCTTGTGCGCACCCTACAGGTCACAATTTTCAAAATAATTTGATGAAATTTCTTATGACATAAGGACGAAGCCTATTGAAAATGGTTCATTCGCTTATTATCGCTTTATTATTTTGTATAGCCGCCATACAACCGTACCCAACGAAAAGGGCTTTTGAGCTTATAAATATTTTAAATGTTCTTGTATTAGTTTAAAAATCGGCAAAACTTAGTTTTATATTAGTCTTAATGATACTGTTGATTTTCGTAATGATCGGGCCTCATTTGACCCTATCCCCCAAAAAGAACAGAATGTATCAAATTGTCATAAAATTGTGACCTGTAGAGTGCGACCAAGGTTTACACGGACGGACGGATAGACGGACATAGCTTAATCGACTCAGAAAGTGATTCTGTGTCTATTGGTGTACTTAAAGGTATAGGAACATTATTTTTGGTTGTTACAAACATCAGCATAAACCTTCCTCACTATAGTGGTGTTTGGTATAATTAAGATGAAGTTGTTTTGACTTTGTATGTTCTCAATTTTAGTTCTTTATGACAAGAGCTGTAACTTTGCCTCAGAGTGTAGATCAAAATTCCAAAGGGTTTGCAAGATATGAGCCTAAGAAAAATATCACTTTTTTCCAAGAATGACAACAAGGCCCCAAATCTTAGGAGAGCCATCAGAAAAAGTGCATGAATTTGAGCAAAACAGAGAGTCTTTTTTAGAACGGTAGGAAAAAAATTTATATAATGGATCGGCATTTTACAAGGAACATTTTTTGTTGCGATTGTTTTATTAACATCTTATCAAATCATACTTAACTCCTGAAGTATGTTTGTTAGCATCTTTTATTTTACGATATATGCATAATTTCCTATAACATTAATATAAATAATACCTACTACTAAAACTCTCATACATACATATGTTTGACTTTGATTAATATGTATAGTTTATAAGAATAAAACACGTGCATATCCTTAAGAACACAGACATTTATAAATATTATATGTAAATTACTATAGTTTGTTGTGGCTGTTGCTTTTCACTTCAACTATTCATTCATCTATTCACAAAAAGGAAATGCCTGTTGACACAAGGATTAAACTTAATCATAAATACTAAACTAAAGGTATACAATTTACATATACTTTAACTTATGCACGAATATTGTCGGTAGGTGTGTCTATTAAGATTCTAGCAGTTCTGTATAAAAACTGGCCAGTTAAGTTATAAACATATAACCTTTGTCACTTTTAGAACTGCTGGGTTGTGCGTGTTTGTTATTGTACACAGATAAAGTATTAGAGATAACTCTACCATAACTTTTGTTATTTCAGGTGTTTAAGATATGAATAGAAAATAAATTACATTATTATATCTTGACATTTCGTTATATTTTCTTTTCTATTCCTTTTGTGAGTATAAAATAAATTATTGTGATTAAATGGTTGACCGTATGATATGATAAAAGTTAGTCGAAAAGTTCTTACACATAAGTACATTAAAGGTATCGAAAAATTTATTATAACACAAATTTTTGTAATATCCTCCGACGCTTAAAATCAAATTGAAGAAAATTACTAAGTGTTGAGATTATTTAAGTAATTTTTTAAGTCATAGAAATATGTATAATTATTTACGGACACCTGTAAGTGATAAAATACCAAAGAAAAAAGATCCATGTCTCCCAGTTTTGCCCTAAGTCATGCAACTTTTTTATGGGCCCCAAAGATTTGGGGCCTCGGTATCATTTTTGATAAAAAAGTTGTAATCTCATGTTTTGCAAAACGTTCTCGATTTCGATTTACTCTCTGAGGCAAAGTTGTAGCTCTTATCATAGGGTTAGGTTAGGTTAGCTTGATAGGAGGATGTATACTACATCAAATCCGAAGAAATACACCTAGGCCACTATCGGGCCTTTTGTGCGCTCCATATAAAAAAAAGAGCTAAATAAATTATTTTTCATTGTTCAAAAATTCAGTTTCCTGAACGTAATTCCTAAGAATCTTCCAATCAGTGTTAGTCAGGAATGTTATTTCCGGAATAACATCACTTCCAAGATACTTGGATCTAACTTCGACGAATGCCTGGCGGTGTCAAAGAAAGTGCTCCAGAGTTTCACTGTCCTCTCCACATGCTCTACATTCGTCTGAATCCGCATGTCCAATTTTGCATAGATGTGCTCGTAATCCTGTATGTCCACTCAGAATACGTACAATCATACTAACTTCAGACTTGCTCATTTTGAGGAGATTTTTCGTTTTGCTCTCATCAGGGTCACCCCATAGGATCTTCGTGGTTCTACCCACTGTTCCATTATTCCAAGAGGCCTAATGGTATTCTCTCGCCCATGTTTTTGTTGCGTCGAATGGTTTTCGTTTGTCAGGTTAACTGCATCGAGCTCTCTCCCCTTTAAAGCAATTACATTCGCCCTTTCGTTACCGACTACTCCCGAGTGGGCTGGTACCCATATGATGTAAACCTTAACTCTGGGAGAGTATTCAGTTAAAGCTTGCTTACAATCCAATACGGTCTTAGATTTAGTTCTATCACCTGATGTCGCCCTAATTGCCTTCTGGCTGTCGGTAAATAAATTAAGCATTCCGTTATTGCTCGTACTTCTGCCAGGAAGCTTTTGTTATGATTTGGTAAACGGTGGTATATTTTTGTTTCTGGGTCTTCAATATAGAACCCCAGCCCCACTTTGTTCCCCAATTTTGAGCCATCCGTGTAACAACGGATTCCTACTGGTATTTGCTCTAATGTTCCGCTTGACGAAGACATTCTATCTTGGATCAGCGTTTCAAAGTTTCCGACATATTCTGTGTCTGGTATACGATCAGGCACGTCCGATGATTGTGTATAACTTTCCAATGTGTCCAGTATACATTGATGACGTGTCCTATAACGTTTTTGGCGAGTTCGCCTAAAGTAAGGAGACGTTCGGCTGTAAGCGCCGCCTCATATATTAAATATGTTTCAATGGGTGGAATATCTAGCAACGTTTCCAGAGCCTTGGTTGTAGTAGTTTGATATTGCACTTTTTGCCTAAAGCAGTCCACCAGATTATTGAAGCATAAGCTAGAATTGGTCTAATTATACTTTTATAAAGCCGATTTGTCATAGTAGGACTAAGACCCTATTTCATACCTATAGTTCTCCTACATATCGCCCAGCACCGATGTGCCTTGTTGATCCTATCCTCTCTTGTCATAAAGAACAAAAATTGTGAACATATAAAATTAAAAAAAACTTCATGTTCATCTTTTCACTTCAAGTGGAAAGTTTTACATTGTGAAATTACACTGATTTTACACCTGTACGTATACGTATTAATGTTGTATTGATATTACAAATATTAAGTATACGCCTAATTTTAATTTATTAAATTTATTAAAATTTTGTGCGTTTTTGATCTTGAAGATGGCTATTCATCAAAGAAAAAAATTAAAAAAAAAAACTTATTTTGTAATGTTTTTTAAAAACGGTGTAAAATTAATAAAGGTAATCACAGATCAACAGTGGGTCCGTAAGTGGATTGATTTTGTCATTTCATTGTAATCATCGAAATACAAACAGAAGTGTATATGTATATTCTAATTAGATTTTCAGAGGATCTATATATATATATATATATATATATATATATATATATATATATATATATATATATCAGTCTGTACTCTCGTTTGCCTCACGATAGGATTCGAATGAGAAGACATAAGATGTAGTTTGTATTGATAAGTTTTGTTTGGTTTTCAAAAGGACAATATTGGTCCTTAACTTAATCTAATATCAATAAGAGTAACGGACTAACTTTAAAATGTAGGATTTTGTAATATTTGTACAATATAAACCCGTCAAAAGAGTTGAACCTATTTTGATGCCAGGAACAAACTAAGCCAATTTTCCAGGGATAGCATTTTGCGTCGATCGAAAGAAAGAGTAGGAAAAAGTTCACTAACAACATCTTTATGCAACACGTGGCCGAGTCGATTAGGACATGTTCGTCTGGTTATCCTTGAAAGCATTTACTGTATAAAAACATTAATTTTTATAATAATTCAGAAATTAAAAAATTAATATGGGCCAATCTTTATAAATTTTGATAGAGGAATTTATTTTGGGGGATAAGGTCAAATGATGCCCGATCATTACAAAAAACAGCAGACTTATATAAAACTAAGTTGTGCCAATGAAGTGATACAAGAACATTTAACATATTTATGAGCTCAAAAGCCCTATTCGTGGGGTACTGTTGAATGGCTTCGTCGTTGGATCAAAAGAAGATAATGTGTCAAATTTTATAAAATTTTCTTGAAAATTAAAACCTGTAGCGTGCACACTAGATTTACATGGACACACAGATGGACATACAGACAGACAGATAGATAGACTGACAGACAGACAGACAGACAGAAAGCAGACAGACAGAAAGACAGACAGACAGATAGACAGACAGACAGACAGACAGACAGACAGACAGACAGACAGACAGACAGACAGACAGACAGACAGACAGACAGACAGACAGACAGACAGACAGACAGACAGACAGACAGACAGACAGACAGAAAGACAGACAGACAGACAGACAGAAAGTGATTCTGAGCCGATTGGTATACTTCAAGGTGTGTGGGACTAACCTTTTGGGTGTTACAAATATCAGCAAAAAGGCATCCAACAACACTATAGTAGGTAGATTATAAACAGTACCAATTTATGAACAAAAAGTACTAAAAAATTCTTTCTTGTAGATTTCAATTATATATTTCTAGTTCTAATATTGCATAAAAACCGTAAAGTACCTATTGAAGAGTGAAAAAGTACACAAATACTTTCCTACAGATTTTCATACAGAAGTACTCTGAATGTTGCATTATATTTTTCTTCAAAAGTACCTTTAGTAGTCCCAAGATACCAAGTATTCCCCTTTCATAGGTTTTCATTTACTCCGGACTCTGAATGCTTAATTTCTAGTTTGTAGGTTCAATATTATAGAAAAATCAAAAAGTACCAAAAAGTGACAAAAATAGTACTTTTTAAAATTTGAAAATTTTTAAATAATTTTTTTAAATTATTTCCCATCCCTATTTCATTCCCGAACACACAATTTTCTATCGATGATTTTTAATTGTTGAAGACTTGGGTTAGTAAACTGATTTCAATACAGACAGACGGACAGACATTCACAGACATAAGCGAACTTTGTAAGAGAAAACGAAATTAAACGTACCTATATGGATGAGGATCAACAAAGGACAATTTGATATGATATGTATACACAACACATAACATAGAAAATCATTTCTGATTATACTTTCTGGCTTATTTCTTCCAAGCTATCCATTCTGATCAACTTGTAGAGAAAGTATTAGTTAATGCTAAAATACTTAAAGACAATTAAAACACAAATGATTACTGTTTGTTTTCTTCTTAAAATCTCGTCTTTTCTATTCCATTTGCTAATTTTTATAATTTTGTTTTATTGTTATTAATTTAATTTATAAGTACTTTGCTTTTTTTTCGTTTAAAACTTAAATCCTTAAATAACTAGTGTCTTAATCGTATTGTTCTATTCTATACGTTGTTTTTGTATTTTTATTATTAATATTATTCATTTTTAACTATCGTCGTATGGACATGGTATTTGTGGGAAATTGTGGTTTTGATGAGGCCGAAAAGAAACGTTTACACGTTAAACGCCAAAATGCCGCCCGAAAGTCAACACTATAGAATGCATAAATGAAGGGATTAATGGCACTATTGAACCAGCCGAGCCATGTTAGCACCTTGGCCAATGTACTGCTAACCTGATCCTCATCCAGGAATGGTGTAATTAAATAGTTGATAAAAAATGGTAACCAACAGGCAATGAAACCACCCACAACAATACTCAGAGTCTGTGTGGTCTTGGTTTCTTTTTTCAACGATGAAATACGATTTGACAATGATTTGGTTGTGTAGTGATGTGAGTGCTGGTGATGATGTGAACGCAGCTGGGGAGTGTGTGGTCTTAGTATGGACGAACCACTACCAGTAACTATGGAGTCGGGTGTTAAAGTATTGCCGGGTGAGGTGGAAGTGATATTGGCTGCAGCTGTATTTAAATAATGCTGATGACGCATACTGTGCGTACGCATGTGTTTGTTGGGATGTGCATGCTGTTGATAATGCTGCTGCTGATGTACGTTGGGTGTAAATGTCCAGGGATTTTCCATACCCATACCCACTGATGCTGTTGCAGTAGCTGCTGTACCCGTGCATGCTGTTGTACTCGTCATTGTAGTTATGGCTGATGAGGCAGTGGGTGTTCGCTTCAACGAGGCTGGTCTCTTCATCTCGTAACAACCATTTTTGCCAGTTGGTGAGGTGGCTGCTTGCTGTTGCAATACTAGCAATGAATGACATTGTGTCGTATTGGCAATTTCATTGTCGGAAGCCATAATTTCTTGTAAATCTTTGGCCAGTGTTTGATTTGACAACGTTCTGGCGGCTTGTTGTTTCTTTTGTCCAGAGCTTAAATCGAATTCTGATAAATCCGGATCCAATTCATTGTCAATATCTGCTGCTGTATAGCGTTTGAATTTCTGTTTACGAAAAAAGACAGGAAGTGAATAGAAGAAATCGTATTAAAAGGAAATTGAGTTGGTAGAGAAGTTAACGAGAGAGAATTGAAAAGTAATTATAAGTTTATATAAAAACGATTATTTAAGCATTAATGGTCCAACTAGAACTGAACTGAACTGTAGAACTGAACTAGAACTGAACTAGAACTGAACTAGAACTGAACTAGAACTGAACTAGAACTGAACTAGAACTGAACTAGAACTGAACTAGAACTGAACTAGAACTGAACTAGAACTGAACTAGAACTGAACTAGAACTGAACTAGAACTGAACTAGAACTGAACTAGAACTGAACTAGAACTGAACTAGAACTGAACTAGAACTGAACTAGAACTGAACTAGAACTGAACTAGAACTGAACTAGAACTGAACTAGAACTGAACTAGAACTGAACTAGAACTGAACTAGAACTGAACTAGAACTGAACTAGAACTGAACTAGAACTGAACTAGAACTGAACTAGAACTGAACTAGAACTGAACTAGAACTGAACTAGAACTGAACTAGAACTGAACTAGAACTGAACTAGAACTGAACTAGAACTGAACTAGAACAAACTAGAATGAACTGGAACTAGAACTGAACTAGAACTGAACTAGAACTGAACTAGAACTGAACTAGAACTGAACTAGAACTGAACCTAGACTGAACTAGAACGAACTAGAACTGAAACTAGAACTGAACTAGAACTGAACTAGAACTGAACTAGAACTGAACTAGAACTGAACTAGAACTGAACTAGAACTGAACTAGAACTGAACTAGAACTGAACTAGAACTGAACTAGAACTGAACTAGAACTGAACTAGAACTGAACTAGAACTGAACTAGAACTGAACTAGAACTGAACTAGAACTAACTAGACTGAACTAGAAACTGAACTAGAACTGAACTAGAACTGAACTAGAACTGAACTAGACTGAACTAGAACTGAACTAGAACTGAACTAGAACTGAACTAGAACTGAACTAGAACTGAACTAGAACTGAACTAGAACTGAACTAGAACTGACCTAGAACTGAACTAGAACTGAACTAGAACTGAACTAGAACTGAACTAGAACTGAACTAGAACTGAACTAGAACTGAACTAGAACTGAACTAGAACTGAACTAGAACTGAACTAGAACTGAACTAGAACTGAACTAGAACTGAACTAGAACTGAACTAGAACTGAACTAGAACTGAACTAGAAACTGAACTAGAACTGAACTAGAAACTGAACTAGAACTGAACTAGACTGACTAGAACTGAACTAGAACTGAACTAGAACTGAACTAGAACTGAACTAGAACTGAACTAGAACTACTGAACTAGAACTGAACTAGAACTGAAATAGAACTGAACTAGAACTGAACTAGAAACTGAACTAGAACTGAACTAGAACTGAACTAGAACTGAACTAGAACTGAACTAGAACTGAACAGAACTGAACTAGAACTGACTAGAACTGAACTAGAACTGAACTAGAACTGAACTAGAACTGAACTAGAACCTGAACTAGAACTGAACTAGAACTGAACTAGAACTGAACTAGAACTGAACTAGAACTGAACTAGAAACTGAACTAGAACCTGAACTAGAACTGAACTAGAACTGAACTAGAACTGAACTAGAACTGAACTAGAACTGAACTAGAACTGAACTAGAACTGAACTAGAACTGAACTAGAACTGAACTAGAACTGAACTAGAACTGAACTAGAACTGAACTAGAACTGAACTAGAACTGAACTAGAAACTGAACTAGAACTGAACTAGAACTGAACTGAACTAGAACTGAACTAGAACTGAACTACTGAACTGAACTAGAACTGACTGACTAGAACTGACTAGAACTGACTAGACTGAACTAGAACTGAACTAGAACTGAACTAGAACTGAACTAGAACTGAACTAGAACTGAACTAGAACTGAACTAGAATGAACTAGAACTGAACTAGAACTGAACTAGAAACTGAACTAGAACTGAACTAGAACGAACTAGAACTGAACTAGAACTGAACTAGAACTGAACTAGAACTGAACTAGAACTGAACTAGAACTGAACTAGAACTGAACTAGAACTGAACTAGAACTAAACTAGAACTCAACTAAGAACTTGAACTGAACTAGAACGACCTACTGTTTACCATATTTTTCGGTTAATGATAGCTTCACTATTTCTGCTGAAAAGTTGCCTAACTAAACTAAAACCTGCCACATAACCATCATTGTTATTAAATTTATTTAAATAAATGTCTATAAGTCCAAGTAAATGATTTCTATCTACTCTTACTTACCTTATTATGGACACTTATATCGGTCATATATCATGTCTATTTGCTATAACACAGGAAATTCTTGCATAGACATAAATCATAACGGCCATTGGTATGAAGAAGGAGCCCATTGCTGAAAATATCACATAACCTTCGTTCTGATTGTAACGACATTCATTTAAATCTCTACGTCCTGGTTCGTACCTACATAAAGCAAACAAAATGAATGAGAAATAGAAAAATGAACTACATTAAACCAATAGATAAATGTGCAAGTTTACAAGGATACGAATCAATAAATGAAAGGGTTTAGTGAGAAAATATTATATGTACATTTTTGTAGTTGAACTTAAGTAAGAGAAGAAAAAGATTTATAACAACCAAGAAAAATTGATTTAGCTTTTTATTTTCTACGAAAAAAAGGACAAATTTTATTATGAAGAAAATATTTTGTTTGCCAACCTTGGTTGCCCAAAAAGAACAAATTGAATTTTGAAATATCAACAAAAAAGAAAAAATTAAGAATCCCAATCTATATATACGGTTGAACTTAAACCTTCAAACATGTTGGCTATATGTTGGGGAATGTTTTTGCAAATTTTATGCAAATAATTTTTTATTTATTTATAATATTTATCTTATGGGATGAAAAATGCTTTATTTATTTACAATTATTCAAAGGATGTTGTCTGCAAGGGAATAAAATCTACATATTGGACTTTTTTTAGCCAGGAAAAGAAATTATATGTGCAAGAATGTTTCTTTTAATGGTGAAAAAAGGGTTATAAAAAGAAATTTAAGGAACTTTTGGAGAAATATTTAAATAATCGTATATAAATATAAATAGCTCGTAAATGTCGAATGTGAGCAAAAATGTTGTTGGAATTTAATTGAGTTTTTAAATTTTAATAATATAAGTTGGAACTTCATTTATAAAGGGTTTGCAAAGAAATACATAACATTTCTTTAATTTTTTTACTTGATTATCGATCACCAGAATAAAGACGCATTAGACAAAATGTGTCTAATCATGCTTTTATAAGACTCTGCGTGACCATGGCTCTTCTATTGCTCCTAACAACGATGTTCCTTGTTGGTAAGCTTGTCGAGAGGTCTATTAGTCTTTTCCTCATTGGTTGATCCTTGTCGGGATTATTTGTTTGTATATTGTTTTAACATCTTTCTAACACCTTTAATACGAAAAACCTGGACGTATAATCACTTTTATAATATAATTTTATTGCGTATACGCTGTGGTTTCAAATTATGAAGCAAAATCATATGTAACATCTATGAAAGTATGGTCGGACGTGGCCGACCAATATTTTTACTTATTTTTGACAAAAAAGGAGGGATCATATCATATGTCGGTAGAGGAATTTACATCAAAGTTATTTATGTCGAATTTCATCGTGTTATTAGTGTTTATAAGTGAATTTTGACCTCAAAGTTATTTTCGGAAGGGGAGTTTGTATGGGGGCTAGGGTCAAATAAGACCCGATAATTACAAAAATCACATAGACACACAGACAGACACGGATGTCGAATACTTAACGAGAATACCTGCCTTGACGGCCTTATGTCACAGTGGTCTTTTTCATCCACTGAGTAGACTAGTGACAGTATACCACGCGCCCCTGAATCCTTCTATGAAGAACTCAGGGGGCAATTTTTGTACATGGCTGAGCCGGTCCATGTACAAGCACTTGTAGTCATGGTAGCCCCAATCACAATGCAAGCCCCGAAAAGGAAAAAACAATCACAATCTTCAGGTATACCGGAAGGTGACCACCTCTTAAAGCCCGCGCAACCACACTACTGAGATGGATCTGTTGATTCGGCAACAGCACCTAGAGACGTATTTTATTTTTCCGAAATACCCTGCCAATAAATCAGGATCCCTCTGTATGTCAGATAATATGACAAAAGATGTAGAAATTTCCAAAATCAATTCGAACCCAATAATTGCCCCGACAAGTTGAAGGAAAGGAACCTCAACCATATGTTGCATAGAATGAAACAATCTGAATCCTGTTGAGATGGCAACAGCACCGAGAGCTTCCCTGAAGTAAATGGTCTACTAAATCACTACTAGTCTCCTGTCGGGCAGAGGAGTCTTTCCCGATCGTTCAACAATTACATCAGTAAAGAACGATCTACGGAATGACAGGTAACTACCAAGTGTCAACCTGAAAAATCCCCAACATATACTGGCGTTCTACTACGCGAACTGTAAGAGATACTCAACGGGTTCAGGAATCCAGCATAAGTTGCTCTGTCACATCACTCAGTGACATTTGTTGAGATGGCAACAGCACCGGAGAGAGAATCCACACATATTTGGCATATTGATTTATCAATCCTTAAATCAACATTCTCTCCCCGCGAATTTGGGTATAAACCACAGCCACTACGTAGATCCTGAAGGAACCTCAACCAACGGACCGGTCAGGACTAGGTCCTGTGGGCAAGCGGCCACCCGTTGTGCAAGATTATTAGGTACTCTGGTTAGACCCCATGTCAAATCATTCCAAAGAATGGACGAGGATACATTTGATCATCACAGTTTATAGTTCCGGCAGACTAGAGGTATTGGTAGCACTTCTATACCTCGGGATTGCAATACACCAAAATGGAGTTTATTATTAAGGAAACATGCCCCGTGGGGTGAATGAACAAACAGACAGACAGACAAACAGACAAACAGATAGACAGACAGACAGACAGACAGACAGACAGACAGACAGACAGACGGACAGACAGACGTAAATAAATCTGAGCCGATTGGTATACTTTAAGGTGGGTGTTTTTGGGTGTTACAACGCATAATACCCTCCCCTCTATAGTGGTGTAGGGTATAAAAAAGCATTCATATAATTATGAGAATAAACTAACAAATTCTCCGTCCAAATTTTTATTAAACTTCTGTTTCATCAAAAAAAAAAAAATATGTTTTTTTATATACAAATCACATTAATTTCAATTGTAACTCTGACTATTTTCCTTATAAATTGGAGACCTTGGGGAATATCCTTTTGTGATTGTTGTTCTTTCCTTTTATGTCTGCGTTTAACTTCAGCTGTTTGTAAAAATTCTAATTAAAAAACTTGTTAATGTAAATAATGCTAATCATGAATTAGCAGAGATTTTTCTTATTTTTAATAAAATATAAAATTCAATTTCATGAATCAAAAATCTAAACAGAAAAAAAATGTTGTAAAAAAGTTGGACAACCAAATAGCAGACAAACAAATATTTGCATAAATTTACAGATTTTTCGCCGAAATTTTTAATCAAAAGTAAAAATTGTCATGATATAAATGGTGTAGTAAGAGTAATTTGATAAGGGGAAGTATGCAAATTTACAAAATTAAAAATAATAATAAAGCCTAATAAAACAAAATAAGATAGAATGTTTATAGAAATTTTTTTTTTTAATTTAATAGATTTTTATATACATACAAAGCTGCTATTGAGCATACTTCCCCTTGCTCGATTTCGTTTATTTTCTTGTATTTTTCTTGTTCTATTTTGTTTAATATTAATATTTATTTAGGTTATTTAACAGAGTACAATACTTACCAGCCCAATATGGGTGGACAGGTGATAGCCAATGCTAAAACCCAAACTATGAGTATCATGATGAGAGCCAAACGTTTCGAACGTCGTTTACGTGAATAAGTTAAAGGTTGGGTTACAGCTAAATATCTGACAATAGCCAAAAAAAGAAAAGATACAACAGCAAAAAAAGAAAGAAATAAAATTACCAACAAATTGTATTACAAAAATTTCATAATTAAAAAAACTTGAGGAAAAATAATAAGAAAGAAAAGTAAATGAAACTTTTCAAAACAAACATGATGCTAAAACTTACCTGTCCACACTGATGGCACATAAACTTAATATGGAAGCGGTACACAGGAGAACATCCAAAGAAATCCAAATATCACAAAGAACCCAACCAAGTTGCCAGGAACCTAAAATAATAAGAACAAAACCAGAAAGAGGCTTTAAAAATAAAGGACTTTAATGCACAAAAAAAAAAACAAAATAAATAAATGACAATTTAAAACTCTTAAAACTTCGCGGCACAACAAATCTTGTTTAAATTAAATAACTTGAGAGTTCGGAAAAAATTTATCATAAACAAAACCAAGTGTAAACAACTTGAAAAATAGTCCTGTTGACCAGTAATCTGTTTTGTTCGCAAGAAAACCAAAATTTATTGTTTATTTAGTTGAAAATCTTGTTAAGATTTTCAGTTTTTGCAACATTTAATAAAGTTTAAAGTTCATTGCTATACCCCAGGGGCGTATGTTTAATGTATATGACTGTAGATTAAATAATAATCATACGCCATGGGCTTATTTATACTCAACATACACTGTTCCCAGTTTTTGTCTTACATTCTCACAACATGGTATTTTCCATTACATATTTTGATTTATTTTTTATTAAATATGTTCGTATGTTGTTAAATAAAGAAGAAAAAAAAAACAAGAAGGAAATATTATTTACAAAATGAGCAAAGTTTTTTTTATGAAATTATGTTAAAGAGCTTGTAATTTACACCACATGCACCCGTGGGAAAATCGTTTGAAATACAAACAAGTTGGATAAAGTTTTCTAATGAAATTTCCCCCAAACAACAAATTGGAGTTGAAGAGAAGATTATTTGCTTTGGAAAATTACATATATATTTGTACAAATATTATTTGGTTAAGCAAGAAAAAAAGTTGTTATCAATTTTAGGATAAATAAACAATTTTGTTAAAATAATAGAAATTTTAGCAAATGCAAATTGAATGGAAAATTAATTCAAATTCTGGAAATAACATGTTCCAAATCATGGTTTCATCCATAGAAAAGTCCAGCGCTAATATTGGCATTATTCAAAGATTATTAAGTACCCACAACCAGAACTGACCTAGAAATGAACTAGAACTGAACTAGAACTGAAACTAGAAACTGAACTAGAACTTGAACTAGAACTGAACTAGAACTGACTAGAACTGAACTAGAACTGAATTAGATCTGAACTAGAAACTGAACTAGAACTGAACTTAGAACTGAACTAGAACTGAACGAGAACTGAACTAGAACTGAACTAGAACTGAACTAGAACTGAACTAGAACTGAAACTAGAAACTGAACTAGAACTGAACTAGAACTGAACTAGAACTGAAAACTAGAACTGAACTAGAACTGAACTAGAACTGAACTAGAACTGAACTAGAATGAACTAGAACTGAACTAGAACTGAACTAGAACTGAACTAGAACTGAACTAGAACTGAACTAGAACTGAACTAGAACTGAACTAGAACTGAACTAGATCTGAACTAGAACTGAACTAGAACTGAACTAGAACTGAACTAGAACTGAACTAGAACTGAACTAGAACTGAACTAGAACTGAACTAGAACTGAACTAGAACTGAACTAGATCTGAACTAGAACTGAACTAGAACTGAACTAGAACTGAACTAGAACTGAATAGAACTGAACTAGAACTGAACTAGAACTGAACTAGAACTGAACTAGAACTCTGAACTAGAACTGAACTAGATCTGAAACTAGAACTGAAACTAGAACTGAACTAGAACTGAACTAGAACTGAACTAGAACTGAACTAGAACTGAACTAGAACTGAATGAACTAGAACTGAACTAGAACTGAACTAGAACTGAACTAGAACTGAACTTGAACTGAACTAGAACTGAACTAGAACTGAACTAGAACTGAACTAGAACTGAACTAGAACTGAACTAGAACAGAACCAGAACTGAACTAGAAATGAACTAGAACTAAAATAGAACTGAACTAGAACTGAACTATAACTGAACTAGAACTGAACTAGAACTGAACTAGAATGAACTAGAAACTGAACTAGAACTGAACTAGAACTGAACTAGAACTGAACTAGAAACTGACCTAGAACTGAACTAGAACTGAACTAGAACTGAACTCGAACTGAACTAGAACTGAACTAGAACTAGAACTGAACTAGAACTGAACTAGAACTGAACCAGAAACTGAACTAGAACAGAACTAGAACGAACTAGAACAGAACTAGAACAGACTAGAACAGAACAGAACAGAACTAGAACAGAACTAGAACAGAACTAGAACAGAACTAGAACAGAACTAGAACAGAACTAGAACAGAACTAGAACAGAACTAGAACAGAACTAGAACAGAACTAGAACAGAACTAGAAACAGAACTAGAACAGAACTAGAACAGAACTAGAACAGAACTAGAACAGAACTAGAACAGAACTAGAACAGAACTAGAACAGAACTAGAACAGAACTAGAACAGAACTAGAACAGAACTAGAAACAGAACTAGAACAGAACTAGAACAGAACTAGAACAGAACTAGAACAGAACTAGAACAGAACTAGAACAGAACTAGAACAGAACTAGAACAGAACTAGAACAGAACTAGAACAGAACTAGAACAGAACTAGAACAGAACTAGAACAGAACTAGAACAGAACTAGAACAGAACTAGAACAGAACTAGAACAGAACTAGAACAGAACTAGAACAGAACTAGAACAGAACTAGAACAGAACTAAACAGAACTAGAAACAGAACTAGAACAGAACTAGAACAGAACTAGAACAGAACTAGAACAGAACTAGAACAGAACTAGAACAGAACTAGAACAGAACTAGAACAGAACTAGAACAGAACTAGAACAGAACTAGAACAGAACTAGAACAGAACTAGAACAGAACTAGAACAGAACTAGAACAGAACTAGAACAGAACTAGAACAGAAACTAGAACAGAACTAGAACAGAACTAGAACAGAACTAGAACAGAACTAGAACAGAACTAGAACAGAACTAGAACAGAACTAGAACAGAACTAGAACAGAACTAGAACAGAACTAGAACAGAACTAGAACAGAACTAGAACAGAACTAGAACAGAACTAGAACAGAACTAGAACAGAACTAGAACAGAACTAGAACAGAAACTAGAACAGAACTAGAACAGAACTAGAACAGAACTAGAACAGAACTAGAACAGAACTAGAACAGAACTAGAACAGAACTAGAACAGAACTAGAACAGAACTAGAACAGAACTAGAACAGAACTAGAACAGAACTAGAACAGAACTAGAACAGAACTAGAACAAGAACTAGAACAGAACTAGAACAGAACTAGAACAGAACTAGAACAGAACTAGAACAGAACTAGAACAGAACTAGAACAGAACTAGAACAGAACTAGAACAGAACTAGAACAGAACTAGAACAGAACTAGAACAGAACTAGAACAGAACTAGAACAGAAAACTAGAACAGAACTAGAACAGAACTAGAACAGAACTAGAACAGAACTAGAACAGAACTAGAACAGAACTAGAACAGAACTAGAACAGAACTAGAACAGAACTAGAACAGAACTAGAACAGAACTAGAACAGAACTAGAACAGAACTAGAACAGAACTAGAACAGAACTAGAACAGAACTAGAACAAACTAGAACAGAACTAGAACAGAACTAGAACAGAACTAGAACAGACTAGAACAGAACTAGAACAGAACTAGAACAGAACTAGAACAGAACTAGAACAGAACTAGAACAGAACTAGAACAGAACTAGAACAGAACTAGAACAGAACTAGAACAGAACTAGAACAGAACTAGAACAGAACTAGAACAGAACTAGAACAGAACTAGAACAGAACTAGAACAGAACTAGAACAGAACTAGCAGAACTAGAACAGAACTAGAACAGAACTAGAAAGAACTAGACAGAACTAGAACAGAACTAGAACAGAAACTAGACAGAACTAGAACAGAACTAGAACAGAACTAGAACAGAACTAGAACAGAACTAGAACAGAACTAAACAGACTAGAACAGAACTAGAACAGAACTAGAACAGAACTAGAACAGAACTAGAACAGAACAGAACAGAACTAAACAGAACTAGACAGAACTAGAACAGAACTAGAACGAAACTAGAACAGAACTAGAACAGAACTAGAACAGAACTAG